ATAATTAATTAATTAATCCAGAAAAAATGTAAAAATGAAACCTAAATGCAATGCATGGTGCTTTTGGCATTTTTCATGATTTTTATGGAAATTAAATGTGCACAAAAATGCACACAATTAATAAAATCCTACAAAAATCCTAAAAAAATGGAAAATAATTGGAAAAAATCTATTTTCTTTGGTTTTGTAGGAGTAATTCATATAGGGCAAAAATCATGTGCTCACAGCTGCCCCTCTTTGCTCGTAAACACGAAGAGTTTTCGTGCAAAGATAAAGTGAGCAGATACGAGTAATTTTTGCCCGTTTGAATACTCCGTGGGAAGCATTTTTGAAAGATTTGACCGAACCTTGCTTCCGAGGTTGCATACATATCCTTGGCTATAAAGGAATCAAGTAAGTGTAGTTCGGGAAGTTTTGGTAGCTGGGACTACTGAGAAGCTGTGATTTTACTATTGCTGCTGCTGCTACTGCTTGCTGAACTCCTTATTACACCGAGTCAAAACAAAAGAAGCTAAACTAAACTATGATCTATGAATTACAAGAATCCTATCTACGTATCTTCAAACTTGATCTTGCGGCTTCTACAGCTCTGTGTTGCATCTTGAGTTATTGACTCGTACTTCCCAGGTAGCTTCCTTTGTTGCTGACTTGAAATGCATTCTGAAGTGAATTCCCTTGTTTTTCAGGTGGGCGCCTGATTGCCAAAACTCGAATTGTCTTCCTTCGAAATTCGGACTGCTTTCCTTTGAAACTTGAACTGTTTTCCCTTGTTCTCCAAGTAGGCGCCTAACTGCTGAACTCGAACTGTCTTCCCTCTAAACTTGAACTATTTTCCCTTGTTCTCCAGGTGGGCGCCTGATTGCTGAACTTGAAACGTCTTCCTTCGAAATTGCTTTCCTTTGAAACTTGAACTGTTCTCTCTTGTTCTCCAGGTGGGCGCCTGACTGCTGAAGCTTGGACTGCCTTCCTTTCCCTTGAAACTTGAACTGTTTTCCCTTGTTCTCCAGGTGGGCGCCTGATTGCTTGAACTTCAAACTGCTTTCCCCTGCAACTTGAGCTGCTTTCCCTTGTTCTCCAGGTGGGCGCCTGATTGCTGAACTTGAATTATCTTCCTCTTGAAACTTAAGTTGCTTTCCCTTGTTCTCCAGGTGGATGCCTGACTGCCGATACTCGAACTGCTTTCCTTTTGAAACTGCTATCCCCTTGAAACTTGTGTTGTCTTCCCTTGTTCTCCAGGTGGGCGCCTGATTGCTGAACTTGGACTGCTTTCTCTTGAAACTGCTTTTCCTTTGAATTGTCTTCCCTTGTTCTCCAGGTGGGCACCTGATTGCTGAGCTTGAACTGTCCTCCTCTTGAAACTGCTTTTCCTTTGAACTGTCTTCCCTTGTTCTCCAGGTGGGCGCCTGATTGCTGAACCTGAACTGCTTTCTCTTGAGACTACTTTTCCTTTGAACTGTCTTCCCTTGTTCTCCAGGTGGGTGCCTGATTGCTGAACTTGAACTACTTTCCTTTCCCTTGAACCTTGTGTTGTCTTCCCTTGTTCTCCAGGTGGGCGTCTGACTGCTGAAGCTTGGACTGCCTTCCTTTCCCTTGAAACTTGGAACTATTTTCCCTTGTCTCCAGGTGGGCGCCTTATTGCTTGAACTTCGAACTGCTTTCCCTTGCAACTTGAGCTGCTTTCCCTTATTCTCCAGGTGGGCGCCTGATTGCTGATCCTCGAACTGTCTTCTCTTGAAACTGCTTTTCCTTTGAACTGTCTTCCCTTGTTCTCCAGGTGGGCGCCTGATTGCTGAATCTGAACTGCTTTCTCTTGAGACTGCTTTTCCTTGAAACTTGAGTTGTTTTCCCTTGTTCTCCTGGTTGGTGCCTGATTACAACAAAACAGACAAAACAAAAGAAATTTTTTTGCCCCGGTTTGATATTGGGAACATCTGTGAGTGTTAACCGACATTTGTTATCAAAGTAAGTTCTAAGCTAAATTCCCTTATCCTGAAAAATTTAAATCAAGTCTCATCTCAAAAAGTGAAAACTTAAATGCTAAATTATATTTCCCAGAAGTAAACTCTCGTCAGACCTTGTCACTTGTGAGGGTCTCAAAACTTACTAAATCCCGTTAGCCAGGAGGGTACTGAAAACTTACGGCCGAGCCTGTCCGGCATCTACTTTCTTCACGGAGGGTTTCTCCGGAACAAACAAAATTTCTTGCCCCTGTTTCAATCAAAGAAAAATCTTGTCAGTTTGAAAATATGGTGGTTAGTTTGCAGCATTCTTGCTGAGGGTGGCCTTCCCACTGTCATGCTTTGTTCTGCTCAACTGCATCCGGCTGGCAAGGAATTGTTTCACCTTCTGATTGAACCTTAACCACGGAACCCTGAATGACCTGAGTGCCTTATATTCAACCTGCTTTTTAACCTTTCTGTCTTCCTAATTTGAATCTCTGTATTTCTCCCCACAATTCATGAAACCATTTGATTACTTGAACCTCGTCTAACACCTTATTTTTTCATTGTGCATCATGCTATTTTTGGCATGCTTCGGCCGCCCTTTACTTTGTGCAGTTTGGAAGTTGGTAATAAGCTTTGCAATCCTTTCTTGTTTGCTTAGCAAGGCTAACACTGGAAAAGCCTTAGAGAAGTAGACCCAAAAGGAAATGAAATGCAATGACTTTGAGAGTTATGAATAAAGAAGAAGATTCAAAACAAGAAGATTGTTTGAGGAAGAAAAGGAAAAGGGACTTATCTGAGTGAGGCTGCTGCCATCAATGATCATGACACGCATTTCGGATTAATCAGCCTTGTCCATTCAGTCAATCACCTTTTAGTCTTCACACTTCATGCCTGGGGTTCCCATAATCCAATTCCTTTGCAAAGTCAACAACCTTATTCGGCTGGCGGCGCCCTGAGGGGTTTTCACCAACAAACCTCTCTCATTTATTCATCTCTCAACTCATCGTCGCCTTACGGTGCCCGTGAGGGTTTTCACCAATAAGACTCTCTCATTTTAATTTCTCTCAGCTCTCCGTCGCCTTACGGTGCCCGTGAGGGTTTTCACCAATAAGACTCTCTCATTTATTCATCTTTCCCTACGCAGAACGGAGTGTTGCCCCTGATATGAATCATACCTCTAGCTTGCTTAACCTGGCATCCCTCGAAGATTGATCGGAAGGTCTTTCTTTGAACCGTAATGTGGGCTTTTGGACAAGGTTAGAAAGAAAGGATATCACAAAGGCTCAAAGCAACTTGAATGGGTTCAAAATTACAACTTTTGGAATCAGATCTTTTACAAAAACCGCAACTTCTGCCCCAGTTTCTTTGCTTGGGGGCTTTTGAATTTTTTATTTTGATGGGACCGAACCGTGAGGCTGCCTACGTATCCTTAAAAGGAATCAGGTCGAACGTAGTTCATGTCATAGGATGTGCTTTGTTTTTGTACTTTTCTCTCTCTTTTTTTTTCTTTTCTTCTTTTCTCTCTCTTTTTCTCTCTTTTTTTCTTTTTTTTTCTCTTTCTTTTTTTTTCTTCCTTTCTTGTACTTCTAAACTTTGCTTCTGATTCCAAAGGAGGGGTATGAAAGAAAATAAAAGGCTCAAAGAAGGGTAACAAAGGATAAAGTGTTTAGATAGCAGAATAAAATGCCATCGTCATTTCAATCTTCAAAACATGCCAAGTACAAACAACACAATTTAAACCAGAGAAATCATACATAATATCTTTTGACTGCATCAGAATTGATAGTCATATCTACACACTTGCCTTCTACATCTGTTAGATACAAAGCACCATTGGACAACACTCTGGTTACCACGAACAGCCCCTGCCAATTTGGGGCAAACTTGCCTTTTGCTTCAGCCTGATGCGGAAGGATGCGTTTCAGTACTTGCTGACCCCCTTCAAATTTCCGGGGATGCACCTTCTTGTTGTATGCTCTTGCCATTCTCTTTTGATACAACTGGCTGTGACATACTGCCACCAGTCTTTTCTCATCAATCAGACTTAATTGCTCTAATCGGGTTTTGACCCACTCATCATCATCAATCTCTAGCTTCAACAACAATTCGAAGAGACGGAATTTCGACCTCCGCGGGTATCACTACTTCAGTACCATATACCAACAAATAAGGAGTTGCACCTACTGAAGTGCGAATAGTAGTGCGATAACCCAGTAAAGCAAAAGGCAACTTTTCATGCCATTGCCTAGAACCTTGCACCATCTTTCGAAGTATCTTCTTTATGTTCTTATTGGCCGCCTCAACCGCTCCATTTGCCTTGGGGCGATACGGAGTGGAATTTCGATGCATAATCTTGAACTGCTGGCATACTTCTTTCATCAAATGGCTATTAAGATTGGCACCATTGTCTGTGATGATTACCTTTGGAATTCCAAACCGACAAATGATGTTCGAGTGAACAAAGTCAACCACTGCTTTCTTGGTCACAGATTTGAAAGTCATAGCTTCAACCTACTTAGTGAAATAATCGATGGCCACCAGAATGAACCTGTGCCCATTGGATGCTGTTGGCTCAATTGGTCCGATGACATCCATGCCCCAAGCAACGAAGGGCCAAGGTGCGGACATTGTATGCAATTCAGACGGGGGAGAATGGATCAAATCACCGTGCACCTGGCATTGATGACACTTACGCACAAAGCTGATGCAGTCTCGTTCCGTGGTGAGCCAATAATAACCTACTCGAAGAATTTTCTTTGCGAGAACATACCCACTCATATGCGGCCCACAAACTCTGGAATGCACTTCGGTCATGATAGTCGTGGCTTGTCTAGCATCTATGCATCTCAACAACCCAAGATCAGGAGTTCTTTTGTACAAAACTCCTCCACTTAAGAAAAATCCACTTGCCAAACGTCAAATTGTTCTCTTTTGATCTCCCGTGGCATGTACCGGATATACCCCCAACTTGATGTACTCCATGATATCGTGGAACCAAGGTTCACCATCAAGTTCTTCTTCTACCATGTTATAGTAAGCATGCTGATCACAGACCTGAATATGCAAAGGGTCAATATAAGCTTTATCTGGATGACGTAACATCGACGCCAGAGTAGCCAAGGCGTCAGCAACCTCATTATAGATCCCAGGGATATGCCTGAATTCCACTGATTTGAACCGCTGACAAAGATCCTGCAGACATTGTCGATATGGAATGAGCTTTAAATATCGAGTCTCCCATTCTCCCTGAATCTGGTGCACCAACAGATCTGAATCTCCCAAAACCAACACTTCCTGGACTCCCATGTCCACAGCTAACCTTAAATCCAAAATGCACGCTTCGTACTCAGCCATGTTGTTGGTACAATAGAAACAGAGCTGGGCTGTGACAGGGTAGTGGTGCCCTGTTTCAGAAATGAGCACAGCTTCTATTCCAACACTTTTCGTGTTAGCGGCCCCATCAAAGAAGAGTTTCCAACCGGGCCTTTCATCCCGCTCTACCTCATCAATATGCATTACTTCTTCATCAGGAAAGTAAGTCTTCAAAGGTTCATATTCTTCGTCCACCGGGTTCTCGGCCAGAGCTTGGGCTTTCATCGCAGTCCGAGTCACATAGACGATGTCAAACTCTATGAGCAAGATCTGCCACTTTGCGAGTCTTCCTGTGGGCATAGGCTTTTGAAAGATATACTTTAAAGGATCCAGGCGAGAAATGAGGTAAGTAGTGTAGGACGACAGATAATGCTTCATTTTTTTGCGCTACCCAAGTCAGGGCACAACATGTCCTTTCAAGGGGAGTATACTTAACCTCATAGGATGTGAACTTCTTGCTGAGATAATAGATGGCCTGCTCTTTCCTGCCAGTGATGTCATGTTGACCCAACACACAACCAAATGAATTATCCAGGACTGTCAAATAAAGAATCAAAGGTCTCCCGGGTTCCGGCGGGACCAACACAGGTGGGTTTGACAAATATTCCTTGATCTTATCGAATGCTTCCTGGCACTCATCAGTCCATTTGACCGCAGCATCCTTCTTTAGCAACTTAAATATGGGCTCACAAGTGGTCGTGAGTTGAACAATAAACCTGTTGATGTAGTTCAACCTCCCTAACAGAGTCATTACCTCAGTCTTGTTCTTTGGCGGTGGTAATTCCTGGATATCCTTAATCTTTGACGGATCCAACACAATGCGTCGCCGACTGACTATGAACCCTAACAGTTTTCCCGATGGAACACCAAACACACACTTTGCAGGGTTGAGCTTAAGATTGTACCTGCGGAGCCTCTGGAAAAACTTTCTCAAGTCCCTGACGTGGTCGACTGCTTCCTGGACTTTATGATCACGTCATCCACGTAAACCTCAATCTCCTTCTGTATCATGTCATGGAATGTGGTGGTCATTGCCCTCATGTAAGTTGCCCCAGTGTTTTACAAACCAAATGGCATGACTCGGTAGAAATATGTTCCCCACGGTGTGATGAATGCCGTCTTTTCCGCGTCTTCCTCATCCATTAAGATCTGATGATATCCCGCATAGCAATCCATAGAAGACCCAATCTCATGCTTGGCACAATTATCAATCAAAATATGGATATTTGACAATGGGGAGTTATCCTTTGGACTTGCTTTGTTAAGGTCACCGTAATCAACACATACTCTGGTCTTACCATCTTTCTTTGGCACAGGCATAACATTAGCTAACCATGTGGGATACCGCGTGACTCGAATGACCTTTGCATCAAGCTGCTTTGTGACTTCTTCTTTGATCTTCACACTCATGTCGGTCTTAAACTTCCTTAATTTCTGTTTGACGGGAGAAAAAGCTGGATCAGTTGGCAATTTGTGGACCACCAAGTCGGTACTCAAGCTTGGCATGTCATCATACGACCACGAAAAAATATCTTTATATTCAAACAACGCTTTGATTATTTCTTCCCTGATTTGTGGTTCAAGATGGACACTTATCTTGGTTTCTCTGACATTATCTGGATCTCCTAAATTGATTGCTTCGGTTTCATTCAAATTAGGCTTGGGTTTTCTTCAAAATTATTTAGTTCTTTACAGATTTCCTCAAATGCCTCATCCTCATCATATTCTGTTTCATCATCACACTCTATTTCTTGGATTATTATTTCAGAATAAGATTGGATTTTAAGACTTGGCCGAAGATTCCTCATGCATGTCATGTCATTGAAACCAGCATAAAAAGAACTGTACAAGGAAGAAAAGAAAACAAAAATAAAAACTATCAGGAATGATGGAAAAGGGAAATTGCATTTTATTAAAAATAAAGGATAGAAGGGTTTGTACATCAAACAAGCGAAAAATAAAAATCTGGGATACAACCCTGGAATAACCCAGATAGAAAGGAAAACAAAGCAAACTACCAAAACCCCTTCCGAGTAGGGAGAGGAGTAGCCTTCCAATTGTTAAGCTTTACTTTCGGCCCGACGAACTGCACATCCGCTTTGCTGGAACCTTCTCCAATTTCTACCATGTTCACATCATCAAACAACCTCTGGAATCTTTCANTTTCTCTTTCTTTTTTTTTCTTCCTTTCTTGTACTTCTAAACTTTGCTTCTGATTCCAAAGGAGGGGTATGAAAGAAAATAAAAGGCTCAAAGAAGGGTAACAAAGGATAAAGTGTTTAGATAGCAGAATAAAATGCCATCGTCATTTCAATCTTCAAAACATGCCAAGTACAAACAACACAATTTAAACCAGAGAAATCATACATAATATCTTTTGACTGCATCAGAATTGATAGTCATATCTACACACTTGCCTTCTACATCTGTTAGATACAAAGCACCATTGGACAACACTCTGGTTACCACGAACAGCCCCTGCCAATTTGGGGCAAACTTGCCTTTTGCTTCAGCCTGATGTGGAAGGATGCGTTTCAATACTAGCTGACCCACTTCAAATTTCCGGGGACGCACCTTCTTGTTGTATGCTCTTTCCATTCTCTTTTGATACAAATGGTCGTGACATACTGCCGTCAGTCTTTTCTCATCAATCAGACTTAATTGCTCCAATCGGGTTTTGACCACTCATCATCATCAATCTCTGCTTCAGCAACAATTCGAAGGGATGGAATCTCAACCTCCGCAGGTATCACTACTTCAGTACCATATACCAACAAATAAGGAGTTGCACCCACTGAAGTGCGAACAGTAGTGCGATAACCCAGTAAAGTAAAGGGCAAATTTCATGCCATTGCCTAGAACCTTGCACCATTTTTTGAAGTATCTTCTTTATGTTCTTGTTGGCCGCCTCAACCGCTCCATTTGCCTTGGGGCGATACGGAGTGGAATTTCGATGCATAATCTTGAACTGCTGGCATACTTCTTTCATCAAATGGCTATTAAGATTAGCACCATTTTCCGTGATGATAACCTTTGGAATCCCAAACCGACAAATGATGTTCGAATGAACAAAGTCAACCACTGCTTTCTTGGTCACAGATTTGAAAGTCATAGCTTCAACCCATTTAGTGAAATAATCGATGGCCACCAGAATGAACTTGTGCCCATTGGATGCTGCTGGCTGAATTGGTCCGATGGAATCCATGCCCCACGCAACGAAGGGCCAAGGTGCGGACATTGTATGCAAATCAGACGGGGGAGAATGGATCAAATCACCATGCACTTGGCATTGATGACACTTACGCACAAAGCTGATGCAGTCTCGTTCCATGGTGAGCCAATAATAACCTGCTCGAAGAATCTTCTTTCCCAGAACATACCCGCTCATATGCGGCCCGCAAACTCCGGAATGCACTTCGGTCATGATAGTCGTGGCTTGTCTAGCATCTATGCATCTCAACAATCCAATATCTGGAGTTCTTTTGTACAAAAATCCTCCACTTACGAAAAATCCACTTGCCAAATGTCGAATTGTTCTCTTTTAATCACCTGTGGCTTGTACCGGATATACCCCCACCTGATGTATTCCTTGATATCATGGAACCACGGCTCACCGTCAAGTTCTTCTTCCACCATGTTACAGTAAGCATGCTGATCGCGACCTGAATGTTCAGAGGGTCAATATAAGCCTTATCTGGATGATATAACATCGACGCCAGAGTAGCCAAGGCGTCAGCAACCTCATTGTGGATCCTAGGGATATGCCTGAATTCCACTGATCTGAACCGCTGACAAAGATCTTGCAGATATTGCAGATATGGTATGAGCTTCAAATCTCGAGTCTCCCATTCTCCCTGAATTTGGTGCACTAACAGATCTGAATCTCCCAGAACTAGCACTTCCTGGACTCTCATGTCCACAGCTAACCTTAAACCCAGAATGCATGCTTCGTACTCAGCCATATTGTTGGTACAATAGAAACGAAGCTGAGCTGTGACAGGGTAATGGTGCCCTATTTCAGAAATGAGCACGGCTCCTATTCCAACACCTTTCATGTTAGCAGCCCCATCAATGAAGAGTTTCCAACCGGGCTTTTATCCTGCTCGACCTCATCAATATGCATTACCTCTTCATCAAGAAAGTAAGTCTTCAAAGGCTCATATTCTTTATCCACCGGGTTCTCGGCCAAATAATCGGCTAAATCTTGGACTTTCATCGTTGTCCGAGTCACATATACGATGTCAAATTCTGTGAGCAAAATCTGCCACTTTGTGAGCCTTCCTGTGGGCATAGGCTTCTGAAAGATATACTTTAAAGGATCCAGGCGAGAAATGAGGTAAGTTGTTACCCAAGTCAGGGCACAACATGTCCTTTCAAAGGGAGTATACTTAACCTCATAGGATGTGAACTTCTTGCTGAGATAATAGATGGCCTGCTCTTTCCTGCCAGTGATGTCATGTTGACCCAACACACAACCAAATGAATTATCCAGGACTGTCAAATAAAGAATCAAAGGTCTCCCGGGTTCCGGCGGGACCAACACAGGTGGGTTCGACAAATACTCCTTGATCTTATCGAATGCTTCGTGGCACACATCAGTCCATTTGACCGCAGCATCCTTCTTTAGCAACTTAAAGATGGGCTCGCAAGTGGTCGTGAGTTAAGCAATAAACCTGCTGATGTAGTTCAATCTCCCTAGCAGACTCATCACCATGCACGACAATCTCCTGTCTGTCCCACTCAAACTTGACCATCTGGTGCAAAGAGGACGGGACTGCTTTGGCGGCATGTATCCAAGGCCGACCCATGAGCAAATTGTAAGAGACAGCCACATCCAGTACCTGGAATTCCATGGTGAATTCAACCAGTCCTATTGTCAATTCAAGCACTATATCACTAACCGAATATTTTCCTCCACCGTCAAAACCTCGAACACATATACTGTTCTTTTGGACCCTTTCAGTATCAATCTTCAACTTGTACAGAGTGGAGAGAGGGCAAATGTTTGCACTGGAACCATTATCCACCAGCACCCTAATGACCACAAAATCTTCACATTTCACTGTAAGGTAGAGAGTTTTGTTGTGTTCAGTACCTTCCACAGGCAACTCGTCATCAGAGAAAGTGACCCTGTTCACCTCAAATATCTTATTGGCGATCTTCTCCAAATGGTTCACTGTGATTTTGTCAGGGCCTGACGATGCTCGTCTGAATGGATCAACAATGATAGCAAGGAAATATGAGCGGGAGTCTTTCTCAATTGCTCCACGATGGAGTAATCTTGTACTTTCATTTTTCTCAAAAACTCCTCTGCTTCTTCTTCAGTGATTGCTTTCTTTACTAGAACTGGATTATCTCTGAGTGTTTTAGCTTTCCTTATCTCTTCCGGGGCAAAGCATCTCCCCGAACGAGTTAATCCCTGGGCCTCATTGACTTCTTCTTTCACTTCCTTCCCCTTATAGGTTACCATCACCCGTTCATAGTTCCATGGGATAGCCTTGGTATTGGTTACCGGCAACTGGGTTACAGGTTTGATGATGACAGGGTCCGTACGGGCACCCTCTACAACTATGATAGGCTTATTTGCCAACCCTGGCACGATCACCTTTGAATTTTCTTGCTTTGCTACAGCATCACTTGGGGATCTCTTCTCAACTACCATAGAAGGTTCACCGTTTGTCATGCTCAATTTGTTCACTGATCCTTCAACTATTGGTTTTGTGACAATTGTTTCCTTGACTGGCTTAACCTCACTAGACCGAATCATCATAACAAATTGCGATGGCTTCTTGGGCTCCCCCTCCTTGTGTACTATCTCGATCACGTTTGTTTCATCATGAGTTAGTAATGGGTTCTGATTGATGTTGGGTGCTTCCGGAGTTTGGACCACAATCTGGTCTGTGTCAATGAGCTCTTGGATGGAATTTTTCAAGTGCCAACACTTCCCCGTATCATGCCCCGGAGTACCAGAACAATACACACAGCTGAGGGGGTAATCCAAATTCTTTGGAGGAGGGTTTGGCAATTTCGACTCAATTGGCCTCAGCACATCCAAATGCCTCAATCTCTGGAATAAGCTGGTATAAGACTCCCCCAACGGGGTGAAAGTTTTCTTTCGCTGCAACCTCTCATTCCTGAATACTGGCTTGGGCCAAAAACCTGGACCGGTAGGGTTTCGGTAGGTTCGTGGGGGTGGGTAAGCATTTTGTGGAGCTGGGTAGGTGTTTTGTGGGGCCGGGGCACGCCATTGTGGGTAAGAATGAGGTTGAGTGTATAATTGGGCGTGGTGGACAGAATATTGAGGGCATGGTGATGGAAAGTAGTGTTGAGGTGGGTTATATGGGGTTTGGGTGTAGGTTCGGTGAGGGGGTCGAGGCTGGGTGTAATGGTGTCGTGTGCCCCTCGGACCAAGCCATGATCCTGAGTCAACTGTTGCAACATCCTCTTTCTTCTTCTTTCCGATCACTCCTCCAGTACCATTCTGGATGGCTTGGGTGGTTGCTTTGATGGCCGAGTAGCTCATGATTTTGCTTGTCTTAAGACCTTCTTCCACCATGCCTCCCATCTTTACTACCTCGTTGAACGACTTACCAATGGCCGATATCAGATGGCCAAAGTAAGTAGGCTCCAGAGCCTGCAGAAAGTACTCCACCATTTCATTTTCCTCCATTGGAGGGTTGACTCTTGCCGCTTGTTCTCTCCAGCGAAAACCATATTCTCTAAAACTTTCTCCTAGCTTCATCTCTATCTTAGTTAGGGACAAACGATCTGGAATGATTTCTATGTTGTATTGGAAGTGCCGCGCAAATGCTTGGGCAAATCATCCCAGGTATACCATCTCCAGTGATCCTGACGTGTGTACCATTCTAACGCCGCGCCACTCAGACTCTGGCTGAAGTATGCCATTAACAGCTCATCTCTACCACCAGCTCCTCTCATTTTGCTACAGAATCCCCTCAAGTGATCCACCGGATCTCCGTGCCCGTCATATAGGTCGAATTTAGGCATCTTGAATCCAACAGGCAACTGAACATCAGGAAATAAACACAGGTCTTTGTAGGCTACGCTCATCTGGCCTCCCAATTCCTGCATATTTCTGAATGATTGTTCCAGGCTTCTTACCTTCTTGAACATCTCCTCCTGTTCCGGGTTTTTAGGCGGTTTCTCGGTCTCAACAGGGAGGTCAAAACGAGGAGTGTAAGAGTGATGATCTGGGGCCTTGAAAGTAGGCTCTGGGGGATAGTACTGATTATCTTGGGTCTGGAATAATGGTTCACTGAAGGATCGATGGAGTGTAGCTGGCGGGGGTGCTACGAAAACAGGGGTGGTTGGTGGAAAGGGGTATGGGATTGTTTTGGCTGGTGGTGCTTGTGGGGTTTGGGAAGTGGTACCCTGATAGTGGCGGTAGTGGGTGAAGCCTGGTGCATGTTGTGGGGATGAATCAACAGTGGGAGGTTCTTGGGATTGAGCTAATGGTGGGATGAAAGCGGGGTTGGCAGGGTATGATGGTGGGGGATGCCCTTTCACCCATGCTTGGTACATTTCGGCCATCTGATGCTTCAACTAATGTAGCTCCTTTTTCATGTAAATCTCACACTCTTCCCCCTCTCTTGACGGATCAATAACACTTGCGTCCTGTCACGACCCTAAACCCAGACCCGGTCGTAATGGCGCCTCTCGTGAAGACAAGGCTAGCCGACACATTTCAAACCAGTCTTTAAGCAATTAAACAATAAGCATTACATCTAAAACATGATATAAACTCAGAAGTAACAATGTCAATACAAAACAATACGCGGAATACAACCCAACTCAACCCGATACCCGGGTGCCACTAGTCATGAGCATCTACTAAGTCTAAATACAAATGACAAAGTCTGGAATGTACTAAGTACAGACTAATAAAATAAGGAGGGAGAAAAGCAGTGCTGCGAACGCCGATAGCTACCTAGCTAAACTCCGATAACTCAGTCTCCGATCAGCCAAAACCCGCTACCGGGTGTAGAATACCTGAATCTGCACACATGGTGCAGGGAGTAAAGTGAGTACTCCAACTCAATGAGTAATAATCATAAATAAAGATTGAGTGATAAGAAATCACGAAAAGAGCATCAACATGCCGTATAGAAGCAGTTTCAAAAGCCAGTAGAGAGCAATGAAGATGAAAATCCTTTAAAACATCTTAGCTCAGTTTAAACCCTTTTTAAAATAACTTTTTCAACAGTTGTGCAAATGAATGCAGAACAACTAGTGCAGATAAGCATAGAAATCCGCCCCTCGGGCACAAATACACAATTAAGCAAGTAAATGACAGGCAAATAAGAAAGATAAGCACATAAGGTTCGCCCCACGAGCACCATATCAACAAATCCGCCCCTCGGGCAATATCTCGGAACAGTACCAGCCCCTCGAGCAATCACATAGAACAGTACCAGCCCCTCGGGCAATCATATAGAACAGTACCAGCCCCTCGGGCAATCACATAGAACAGTACCAGCCCCCCGGGCTATATCTTACATCACACTGGGTACCCGCGCTCACTGGGGGTGTGCAGACTCCGGGAGGAGCCCCTTACGGCCCAAGCGCAATAACAAGTCATCTCGTGGCATCATAAACAGGTCTTCGACCTTATATCAATATCAAGCCACCTCGTGGCGTACAATCTCAGGCCCTCGGCCTCATAATCAAATCAATGTATCACCTCTGCGGCATGCAGCCCGATCCCAAAGACATGTATCATCGTTGCGGCGTGCAGCCCGATCCCAAAGATATCCTCACAACACAGGCCCTCGGCCTTACTCAGTCAAAAATCACGTAAGCCTCTCGGGCAACAGTAAAACAGTATTTCTCAGCCCAAAACATCATTTAAATATCATTTGAGTATTAAAACAGAGTAAACATGGCTGAGTTTTGAAAACAGTGGGAAATAACATGACTGAGTTCAAATATAAAGCCAAAACAG